TTCTCTCCTGTCAGCCATCTCTGGGCAGCCGATCCCCCCTGCACACCCCTCGACCTCACACAAAAAGACCCCTGTTTCTGTCAGGAAGCTACTCGAGACTCTACCCTAAATAGCCAGATTGATTTATTCAAGGAACGTTTGTTTTTTTTTCCTCCACACTTAGTGGAGGCCAAGACAAACTGCTCACACAGCAGCAGATCTGAATATCTCAACTCCTCCGGCTCAGATCTTACAGACATTCAATACATCCTCTTGTTGGAGACTTTAACCTGGAGGGTAAAAACTCTCATCCACTGGATTAAAGAAGCCAGTGGATTCGAAATTCAAGAGAATCTTTTGATATTTTTTGCAGTTTTTTTAAAGAGATGAGCCTGTCAGAGCAGCTGTAAAATGTGTCTGGTAGATGAACGTTCAACCAGGTCTGTGCTACACTCCACTGTGTCAACATGTTGTTTCACTTACATCAGCGCCTGGAAGGCCTGCAGCTCCAGGAGTGCCGTCTTTGCCGTTATCACCATCAGGGCCCTGGAAGCAGAAGTTCAAAGTCAGCATCCATTATACATTTTCTTTATCTACGGAGGAATTAAAAGTCCACTCACTGGTCCGCCGTCCACTGTGGCGTCTTCTCCTCTGTCGCCCTGAAGATACAAGACGAAGATGATCAGATGGTGATCATACATGTGTTTAATTCACACATGATGGATATTTTGTAGCCTGATTCCAGTATATTATTAATATGTTTAGATGTTTGACTGCTTTTAGGCTAAACTACTTTACTTCAGAGTAAATGATTCAGGTAATATGCAGAAAACATAACGGAACAACCTTTTGTTTTTGGTGCAGTTGGGGGACACTTGAACTCATGATGTTTGTATTTCTAAAATCCTGACTATGGTCTTGTTGTTGCATATTCAAAAACTAACTTTTTTATAGTGCAAACACGATATAATATTTTATATATATGTAGTGCAGCATTAAATCTAGTTAAATTAAAACATACTTAAGTGACCTTACTGTAGTTTTATACAACAACAACTGCTCTGTTTTGTGTGACCAACTTTTTAAATCTGAGTGTAGAACATGGTTTTCAAAGTGTAACATTCCTGCTCACAGTGAAGGTGAATGTAGTCAGGATTAGGTCATGTGAGGAGCTTTTCATTTCCAAAGGACTTCATTGTAGAAACAGCTGCTGCTTTTTCTCCTTCTTGTTCAAAACAATGAAAACCTGCTTCACTGAGCTGATTAACCCAGAAATGAACTGACCCACATCTGAAACCTGAAGTTTATAACTGAGAAGAGATGAAACTGCGGACTCACATCAATGCCATCCACTCCGGGCACGCCAGACACTCCAGGCGGCCCCGGGGGGCCTCTGGGACCGACCGGGCCCCTCTGTAGAACAAACACGAAAAATCAGTTTTAACTTTTTTTTTCTCACTGAAATTAATCTCTAAATATCATCCAGTGCTGCTGCTGCTGGCTGTGGCGTGAAGGGCAGCTCACACAGACTCTCATTGTTTGGGTGATGTGAGGGGAAAGGTCATGAAACTGAACCTGGTTTTCCATTATAGTCCCATTATATCGCCTAAGTAACGGCATGTGTTCGGATTACTGCTTTCTGGACCTTATTGGTGCCAGGTGTGCACGCTGGGATAAATGGACCACAGTTTGGACCAGTTTTTAGATAAACTTCATCAAAAAATTGTAATCATACTTTAAATTCAGCCAATTTGAACGTCCACGTGCACCAAACTGACTTTATTAATAGCTCATACAATAACAATGTGTAATAGCAACATACATTGTTAAAGAAAATCCAATATACTACTATACTAAGCTCACAAATAGTGTTACACGAGTTCAAGAAGATTTAGTTAAAGTGCATTAACGTATATCTCATTACACAGTTAGTTTGGAGATAAC